TTTCCTTTTTCTATTTTAGCCTTTTTCTAAGCCAACTCAATAAGCCTCCCTTGAGCAATCAACACGTTTGAATTTCAAATAAGTGCTAATAGGATTCCACCTAATTTTTTGGCCTATTATCTTTTATATCCACTGGAGGGAATGATTTCTCCCACGAGAATATTCGTCAAAGATTCCTTCGTCTTCTCCGCTTCTCTTTCTCTCTGCAAAACAAATCGGAGTAAAAGGACCACACCCGGGGGGTGTTGGCCAAAGGCCCTCCGATGTCTAAGTTAGGTAAGGTATTTCAAGGAAAACCGGGTGGCCGGAGCCTTGTGTAAGGGAGAGAAAGAAAGTGGTGGCTAGGGTTTGTGAGAAATGATTTCTGTAGAGTTTCAGTAGGAATTTAGACGTACCTCCACCATTGTGTGTGGCTATGCTTTTATAATGGTCTTGGAGGCTAGGGTTTCAGAGGAATAATTCCGTAGATGGAAGGGAATTATTCCTCCCCTTTATGGATTGATTGATTTTGATTAATTAGGGTATTATTATCAAATCCCTAATTGTGGTAGGTATCAAATCAAATCCCATTTCAATTAGGTAACTCCTCATTTAATTGAGAATCGGGGTAGGAATTAGGAATCAATTCTCAACCCAATTAAGTAGTCTTCAATTTAATTGGGTAACCCCCAATTAAATTGAGTAACTCCCAATTAGGTTGATTAATTCCCAATTAGGTCAAATAATCCCCAAATGGAATGAATTATTTGACCTAGGGTTTTGGCTTAATTTGGTTACCACAAATGCCCCCCAGCTTCTGCATGGCGCGTGGTGGCATGTAGGAGATGTAACTGCTTCGTTGGGTTGTCCAGCTGTAACTGGGCTTCCTTCGTGGACCTGGGCTCCTGAGTAGAGGAGGTATTTGACTTGCCAATTTTATGAACTCCTAAGTTGGAAAGAGTTTGCGATTCCTTGTAGGTCAAGGAATTTTGATCCTTATAAATGTAGGGCTCTTCCAATTTATTCTTCACATCAAAAGTCTATTCCACCAATTCTGTAAGTGAGAGAGAGAGAAACTTTGGAGAGCTTTCCCAGCGTGCTTGAAACTTCATCTTTGCTGTCCATCCAAGGTAATTAGCCTAGAAGAATTTTTGTGCCTCTGACTTTTAGCACCTTGGTCCGTATATTCTAGCTGGTCATTGGAGCTGTGAGGCATGGGGCGTGGTTTGGTGAGATGTGCCCACGGGCTGGAGCATGGAGGTCTGAAGTTGCATGCTTTGGGGCTGGAGCATGGAGGTCTGGAGGTGCCTAAGCCTGGCATGCGAGGTGGGCTCGAGCTGGCGTGCGCTGGGCTTCGAATTGGAGGTCTGGAGGCTCCAGGCCCTGCCTGCATTGGAGCTGAGCGGAATTGGGCCAGCGTGAGACGTGGGCTTGCGCTAAGCAAGCTGGCCACTTGCGCTGGTGCTGGAGCGGGCTGCGCGCTGGAGTCGGGCCTTGCGCGAGACTTGGGCCGCGCCAGCTGCTGTTTGGAGCGAACGGGCCAGGCGTTAGGCGGGCCTCTGTGCTGGACTTGGTGCTGGGCTGCGCGCTGACTGGTGTTGGTGCGACTTGGGCCCTGCGCTGGAGCACCTGCTGGGCTATCCTTCTCTCAGCTTGGGCTGATGAATTTCATTTTTTTTTGTTTTTTTTTTTCGACTTGCGAATTTTTCCGGTATTCTAACTTGTAGAATTCTTTCTTTTTTGGCAGCCACTCGTTGACCAACTATGTCTTCCGGGGACGGTAGCAAGGCTCCAAGCTCTCAAGCACCTTTATACTTGTGGGGAGGCTCCTTAGTGCCTAGCAAGAAATTCGTGGCCAACTTGCACCGCGTGACGACCGATGCTCAGTTCCAGAAGTGGCGGGCTGCCTTCACATCTGCCATTCCAGATGACGTGCAGGTCAAGCTACTGAAGTCTTGGGCTGATAGCAAGCCTTTGGTAGATGCGAATGATCCCGGCGCTAGGGTCATTACCTTCCGTCCTTTTTACTTTTCCTTGGGCTTCAAATTCCCACTGTCGAAGCTCTTCAAGGAGGTGTTCTGCGCCATGGAGTGTGCTCCGAGCCAGTGTACTCCCAACGTTTACCGGGCAATCATGTGCTTCGAGAATCTGAGCCGTTTCTTCACTTTGGAGCTGACATTGCGTGAGTTCTTTTATTTTTTCGAGGTGAGGCACTTTGAGCAGTATGCCCAAGTTCGCACCTACAAGACCAAGCTGTTCGACGGTCTCAGTCAGGGAGATCACGCTTGGCATGACGACGTGTTGGAAGTTAGCGGACGGTGGGAAGGCGACGTTCGTGACGGCCCACTTGTTCCCGTCACCTATTGCCCTGGTATGTCTTTTGTGACTTTTGATATGTTCCTTTTTATTTGAATTTCTTAAAGTGTGGTTGACTAACTTCTGTCTTCTGCTTATAGTGAATGACATCAGTAAGCAATTGGAGTTTGGACCAGACATGGCTAAGGTCCGTCGTGCTTTGAACATCCCTCAAAAGTTTCGCGAGTGGCGCTGGCTGTTGAGCGAGTACCGAGAGGTAGATGGTGGTCTGCCCCCTGCCGAGGATGTCGAAAGGTGGAAGCAGAATGGACCTGACCCTGACGATCTGCCTACAGTACAGGAAGAGTGTTCTGCTGAATCTCCACCAAAGAGAAAGGCTGCTAGCAAATCTTCCAGAGGTGAAGCCACTTCTTCGCATGCCAAGAATGGGTCTCCATCGAGGAAGAAGCCAAGGCTCCCTTCTGCTGAGAAGGCTCAAGTGGGGTCTGCTCCGTCATCATCTGCCAGGGTCAAGCATCTCGTGGGTGCAGATAGCACGAAGGTTGGTGGTATGCGCGGTGCTCGGGGTGTTCTGCCCGAGCCTCCTGCCGACACGCTCGAAAACCATGACATGCTTCGTGAGACAGCTCGTGCCCGGCCTAGTTCTGCTGAGCGTCAAAGAGATGTAGACATTCCTCCTCGAAGTTCGAGTCGTCTGCATCGGTCGAAAGATGGAGATCGAAGTGGGAGGTCTGCTTATGATCCAGCTGTTGAACCGTGGGCAGTCAAGCGTGGAGTTGATTCAGTATCATTGACTCCTTTGGAGATGAAGTTGGCGGAGGCTAAGAAGATGAGAGAGTCATCTGCTCGGGCTAAGGGTTCTTCTTCAGCGACGGCGGTTGGTCCCAAGGTGGATAAGTCTAACCCTGCGGGGGATGCATGCGTGTCTGATCTGCTCAAGACGAACTTCCTATCGAACCCGTCTTCATGTGCTGAGCTGGTTGATCACATTCGTCAGGCAGGCGATCTTGGCACTTTCTCGAGCCTTTCCTTGGAAAAACAAAGGGAAGCGTCATTCCATCTGATTCAAAAAGGATTGGTTTTTGCTGCAGAGACCATTCGGAACTCATCTGCTGTTGCCCCCTCTTCTGCTCAGCTTAGCGAGCTGGAGAAGAAGAATGCTGAATTGGCCAGCCATCTTGCTGCCGAGCAGGCCCGTTATGAGAAGAAGACGCATGATTTGAGGGCAATGATTTCTGAGCTGAAAAGCTCCCTTACCGAGAAGGATTCTGAGCTCAACTCTCTTGCCACTGATTTGGTTAGTCGCAAAGATGCCTTCTTTAGTCTTGAGCGTAAGAATGCTGACATCTCCCTTAGCCATGACAAGCTCCTGGCTAGATTTCACGCATACCACAAGTCCGCAGAAAAATCCAAGTCTGAAGCCATCATAGACGCGTACAAGTTGGGCTACCTGCACTGTGCGGATGAGGTTACTCCCTTGTATGCGATTGACGATGTAGACATCGAGACACTCTGCCCTGATTCACCCCGTGCAGAAGGAGGAACTGAAGAGCAAGAAGTTGGAGAGGATGGAGGGGAGGTGGACACAGTAGATGAGATGATGGCAGATGAGGCTGCTGAAGGCATAGCTGATCAGGTGGATGCCGAAGAGGCTGCGACTCATAGGTCTCCTGCCGGCGCCTCAGAGTAGATGAAGACTTCTTTATTTCTTTTCAGCTTTTGTAGTTTGCTTTCTTGTTTTGAATAATTGGTCTTTTTTGACCATATTCTTGTTGTTGAACTTGGCCGGTTGGTCATATTGTTATGGAAATTTCAGTTGTTACTCTCAACTTTCAATTTGCATATCGACCTGTGAACTGTTAAGTAATCAGCTTCAGTCTTAATTGCACTTCTTCTTTGGAGATTTATGAGTGACAGGGTTCCCCTTGGGGGGTTCCGAGCGTATTCTGCACATCTCGTATGATGTTTTTCCCTTAGGAAGTTGGCGAGTGCCAGGGTCCCCCTTGAGGGACTCCGGGCGTGTTCTGCACATCCCTTAGGATGGTTTCCCTTAGGAAGTGGCGAGTGCCAGGGCCTCCCTTAAGAGGCTCCGGGCGTGTCCTGCACATCCCTTAGGATGGTTTCCCTTAGGAAGTTGGCGAGTGCCAGGGTCCCCCTTGAGGGACTCCGGGCGTGTCCTGCACATCCCTTAGGATGGTTTCCCTTAGGAAGTTGGCAAGTGCCTGGGCCCCCCTTAAGAGGCTCCGGGCGTGTCCTGCACATCCCTTAGGATGGTTTCCCTTAGGAAGTTGGCAAGTGCCTGGGCCCCCCTTAAGAGGCTCCGGGCGTGTCCTGCACATCCCTTAGGATGGTTTCCCTTAGGAAGTTGGCGAGTGCCTGGGCCCCCCTTAAGAGGCTCCGGGCGTGTCCTGCACATCCCTTAGGATGGTTTCCCTTAGGAAGTTGGCAAGTGCCTGGGCCCCCCTTAAGAGGCTCCGGGCGTGTCCTGCACATCCCTTAGGATGGTTTCCCTTAGGAAGTTGGCGAGTGCCAGGGCCCCCCTTAAGAGGCTCCGGGCGTATTCTGGACATCCCTTAGGATGCCTTGGTCGTCGCCCTGCGTCTCCCGAAGGACGCTGCTTATGGGCAACTGTGTGTCTATCCTGCCTCCCTTAGGAAACGGATAGGAACCTGGATACTTCCCGCAGAAGGCATGGAGACCTCCTTTTAAGAAATTCCTGGCGCACCCTGCGTCTCCCTTAGGACGCTTTTTACGGGCTGCGTCTCCCGAAGGACGCTTTGGTCGTCGCCCTGCGTCTCCCTTAGGACGCTGCTTATGGGCAACTGCGTGTCTATCCTGCCTCCCTTAGGAAACGGATAGGAACCTGGATACTTCCCGCAGAAGGCATGGAGACCTTCTTTTAAGAAATTCCTGGCGCACCCTGCGTCTCCCTTAGGACGCTTTTTACGGGCTGCGTCTCCCGAAGGACGCTTTGGTCGTCGCCCTGCGTCTCCCTTAGGACGCTGCTTATGGGCAACTGCTTGTGTTTTGTAGGCAGATAAGACATTTTGGAATGAGAAACTGAACTTATATTGATATTCATAAGATTACAGTCCTTTATTCGAAAATGAAAATAACTGAGTACAAAACTTGAAACTTCTAGTAGTCATGAGGAAGCATTATGGATAATACTTTCGGAGATGGTGAACATTCCATTGTCGTGGTATTTGCTTCCCATCCATGGTGTCCAATGTGTAGCTTCCTCTGCCCCCGGACCGGCTGATCACATAAGGGCCTTCCCAGTTGGGATTCATCTTTTTCGACCCTTGTCTTGGTGCGGTGATGAAAGCCTTTCTTAGCACGAGGTCGCCTGGTTGAAACTGTCTGACCTTAGCTCTTTTGTCGTAGTACGACTTCAACTGCTGCTGGTAGGAGGCGACTCGGATAATGGTCTTCTCACGTTCGCCCTCAAGTAGGTCAAGGTTGAGCCTCATTTGCTTGGAGTTCTGGTCAACACTGCCCACCTCGAGGTTTATAGAGGGGACTGTGATGTGAGGAGGGATGATTGCTTCCGTCCCATAGGCGAGGGAGAATGGGGTTTCACCAGTTGACCTTCGCTTGGTGGTGCGATAAGCCCATAGTACTCCAGGGAGTTCATCCACCCATTTTCCTTCGGCGCCTTCTAGCCTTTTCTTCAAGCAGTCCAATATGACTTTGTTGGATGCCTCGGCCTGCCCATTTCCTTGTGGATACCTCGGAGTTGACAGGTGTTGTTTGATCTTGTATTTCGCAAAGAAGGCGGTGATATGCTTGCCAATGAACTGTGAGCCATTATCAGTGAGTTCCTTTGCCAAGCGCAGGCCGGCGAGCAATGCCTCGTATTCTGCCTCGTTGTTCGAGGCCGGGAATCCAAGCGTGATAGCTTGCTCCAACAAGGTTCCGTCTGGGGTGATGATGACGACACCCGCTCCAGCTCCTTTCTGGTTTGACGCTCCATCTACCCGCAACTGCCACGTGTCTCTAGGTTGACTAGGTTCAGCGGGGGTCCTGTCTGCTTTTGAACTTTCCTTCTTTTCGTTGACCATTTTCTCTTCTTCGGCCGATGGGGTGAACTCCGCTACGAAGTCAGCTAAAACCTGGGCTTTTATTGCAGCTTTTGGCCGGTAGATGAGGTCATATTGGCTTAGCTCTATAGCCCACTTCATGAGTCGTTGAGAGGCATCAGGGCTATGAAGGATTGATCTCAAAGGAAAGTCGGTCATGACGATGACTCGATGAGCTTGGTAGTAGGGTCGTAGCTTTCTCGCAGAAACTACAAGAGCCAAAATGAGTTTCTCCAATTTTGGGTAACGAGTCTCTGCATCGAGGAGAGCTTTTGACGTGTAGAATACCGGATGTTGGGCCCCCAGCTCTTCTCTGATGAGAGCTGAGCTGACAGCTGAGTTGGACACTGCCAGGTACACGAACAAGTCCTCACCAGGGACTGGCTTTGAAAGCAGGGGAGGTGAAGTGAGATAAGCCTTGAGACTCTGGAAAGCTACTTCGCACTCCTCATCCCATTTGTCTCTTTGTCCTTTCTTCAAAGCTTTGAAGAATGGTTTGCACTTGTCGGTTGATCTTGAGAGGAACCGGTTGAGGGCCGCTGCTCTGCCCGTCAGACTTTGTATTTCCTTCACTGTGGAAGGCGACTTCATCTCTAGAATAGCTTTGATCTGACGTGGGTGTGCCTCGATACCTCGTTGTGTGACTAAGTATCCCAAGAATCGGCCGGAGGATACACCAAATGTGCATTTACTTGGGTTCAACTTCATGCGATACTGGCGGAGCAGGCTGAATGCCTCAGCGAGGTTTTTGAGGTGATCTGCACGTTTTGGGGCCTTGACCAGCATGTCGTCCACGTACACCTCCATAGTTTTGCCGATCTGCTCCTTGAAGATTTTGTTCACCAGTCTTTGGTAGGTTGCTCCGGCGTTTTTCAGCCCAAAAGGCATGACCTTGTAGCAGTAGGTCCCTCTCTCGATGATGAAAGAAGTTTTCGCCTTGTCATCCTCGTGCATCAAGATTTGGTTGTAGCCGGAGTAGGCGTCCATGAAGCTGAGTAGCTGATTGCCAGAAGTGGAATCCACTAGTTGGTCGATTCTTGGCAATGGGAAGTTGTCTTTTGGGCACGCTTTGTTGAGGTCGGTGTAATCGACGCAAACTCTCCACTTTCCCTTCTCTTGTTTTGCCACCAGAACAACATTAGCGAGCCACTCCGAGTAGGAGACCTCTTCAATGAAGCCAGCGGCTAGGAGTTTATCAATCTCGGCTTCGATGATGGCGACCCGCTCGGGTGCGAAGTTGCGCCTCTTCTGCGCCACTGGTTTGCAGGCAGGGTTGACGTAGAGTCGGTGACATATGATGTTCGGGTCGATACCAGGCATGTCTGACGGCGACCATGCGAACATATCTTTGTTGTTCTGGAGGAAAGTGGTAAGTTCCACCTTCTCGTCTGGGCTTAGGCGCGAGCCGATCCGCGCTTTTTTGTCTGGCTGGTCAGGATCCAAGGGTATTAACTCGATGTCCTCCTCGGGCTTCCATCCTTCTTCAAGAAAGACCTCTGGACGGATTTCCTCGGCTTGGTCCTGACGCTTTGATTGCTATAAGATAGCAAGGTTCGATTGTTCCACCTCCTTCAGATCTGCCTGGCTTACTGGGAGGAACTGCGCTTGCTTGCTTTTCTTCAGCCCTTGGGCGGAGCATTTCCTCGCCATTGCCTGATCGCTGTTGATTTGTCCAACACCGCCCCCAGGGATTGGGTACCGAATTTTCTGATGTGTGGCAGAGGTGATGGCGTTGATCATGCCGATCCATGGCCTGCCCAGAATGACCATGAACGTTTGCAAGCAGACTACAGGTGGGGAGTAGACGTCAAGGTCTATTGTGCCCACGGTAACCGTTGTTGCGCCATTGAAGCCGGTCAGCGATCTGGCTGATTTGTTGATCTTTGCCTCCAAGCCCATCTGCTGGATGACAGCCAGTTGCAAGATATTGGCTGCGCTGCCCTCGTCTGCATGGATTCGGTCGACCATGGCCTGAGCGATTTGTATGCTGATGACAAGGGCATCGTTATGTGGCATGTCGAGGCCGATCAGATCTTTCTTTTGGAAGCCGATTATAGGATCGTCTTCTGTTGGTAGAAGGTCAGTCGAGACTTGGGAGATCATAGTGGCCTGTTTGATCTTCCTCTTCTTTTCCTTGCTGGTCAGTCCTGACTCCTTGGCGTCGGCTAGGATTGTGTTAATCCTTATGACCTTCTGGGGCGGTTCCTTGGCGGTGTCTCGATCTTCAATCCGCTGGATGGCCTGCTTCGCGATGAACTCCGTGCAATGACCCTCTTTCACGAGTTCTTCAAGGTGTGCTTTCCAAGCGAGGCAGTTATTGGTAGTGTGCCCGTGTGTCCCATGGAAGGCACAGTACTTGCTTGTATCCCTCTTGTCTGGATCTCCTTTCAAGGGTGGCGGTCTTCTTACCCAAGGTTTGTTTTTCACTTGGGCTAAGATTTGATGTATGGGGATGGTGAACTTGGTGTAGTTCTCTCCTGCTGTAGCGTCTCCTTGTGGGTGTGACCTGCGCCTATCCTTGTTCTTGTTGCTAAATCCATCGCTTCTTTGACCTGCCCGCTTAGTCGGTTGATCTTCATGCTTAGTAGACTTTTTTGCGGCGATTCGATCGTCATCCTAGAGCGCGTAGCGTTCCGCGGTCGCGTAGACCTCTGCCAGAGTCTGGCTGGGAGTGATAGTCAGCTCGCGGTACAAGTCGTGTTCAGCTGGGAGGCCTTTCTTGAAAGCAGATGATGCGATCCGGTCGTCACATCCTACAATGTTGGCCTTTTCTGCTTTGAATCTCTTGATGTAATCTCGAAGGGATTCGTCGGACTTCTTGCGCAGGTTGTACAGGTGGTCAGGGTTCTTCTTGATCGTCCGATAAGAGGTGTACTCTTTGGTGAAGACGTAAGCCAACTCCTTGAAGCTGTTGATCGACCCAGATGGCAGGGTGTGGAACCAATCTTGGGCTGCTCCTCGCAAGGTCACTACGAATACCTTGCACATCAACGCGTCGTCGGCCTTGTGGAGGATCATGACACTTTTGAAGTGTTTTAGGTGACTCTCGGGATCGGAGTCCCCTTTGAAGTGTGTAAACGAAGGTGTGGAGAATCGCTTTGGGGGAGCAGCCTGCTCGATTTCGGCAGTGAAAGGTGTGGAGCTTGCATGGTCGATCTCCTTGCGTAGTGCATCGTCGAGGTTCCCGCCAGTCTTCAGATCTCGAAGTCGGTCATTCATAAGCTTCTCGACGTCCTCTATGCACATTGTTGGTCGATCACGTTGGCGACCATCGCGATTCGGGCGACGTTGACTGACCTCCTCCTGGGTCTGCGAGTGTCGACCTTCTCGTCTGCGCTGCCTAGGCGGAGTGTTGGTGGACTGCGCTTGCGAGAGATTCTCCGTAGTTGGTCGACGAGAGCCGTCTCTTCGTGAGTGAGCAGCGGAGCGTCTTTCTTCGCGGTCCTCATTGTTAGGATTATCCGGTTGACCACCCTGGGGACGTAGCCTCTCGTGAATGTTCGTCTGCGAGTGGACAGCTGAGCGTCTTTCTTCACGATCCTCGTTGCGATGGTTGTCTGATTGTCCTCCCTGGGGGCCTAGCCTTTGAAGTACATTTCCCTGCGGTCCCAAGCGGGCGTGGACGTCAAGTCGTGGGCCTAGCCTCTCGCGCACGTTGTTCCTCGAACTTAATCTGCTCCGAGTGGGGCTCGCGGATGCTTGTGACATGTCGGTAGGCCGATCAAGTTGTTGTCCCTCGCCTTGTCTGCCTACTCCTGCTTGACCTGCTGGGTACCCGTTGAGTTGCCTGCCGGTGCGTTCGTCCATCCTTCTCTCTTCGCCTAGTCGTCCAAGGCCAAGGTTTTGAGCCAAGCTGATTTGGTGGAGGAGTTGCCTCATCAGATCGCTTTGGTCGTCCATTCTCTGAGCTAGCTGGTCAACTCTCAGACTAAGGTCTGCTTGACTTCGTGGATCAGGAGGAGAGAAGTGTGTGGAGCCCAATTGCACACGGGCTAGGGTTTCATTGGAGGTGTGCGCGGGAGCATGTGTCGAGCGTGGAGGCAATGGAGGGATCGCTTGAAGTTGCTCCAAGATCGGGCCTAAGTCAGCGGTGGTAACAAGCCCACCTTGATAGGAGGTTCCACCATGTTCGGCGGCGGTGGCCGGTGCGGTGGTGAGAGGTGGTGGGGCCAACATGTCGATCGCGGGATCGTGGGCGGAGTGGCTTTGGGCCGTCGCGGATTTAGCCATCGCGGCGGTTTTGCCTCTCGTCTTCATGCTTCCAACCATGGTTGTTTGGAAGGCTTCGGTGGATTGGAAAATAGGAGGAACGGATTCCTTGAGCACGCGTTGAGTATAACTCGTGCTCTCAATGAAAGCACCAATTTGGAGGGAATGATTTCCCCACGAGAATATTCGTCAAAGATTCCTTCGTCTTCTCCGCTTCTCTTTCTCTCTGCAAAACAAATCGGAGTAAAAGGACCACACCCGGGGGGTGTTGGCCAAAGGCCCTCCGATGCCTAAGTTAGGTAAGGTATTTCAAGGAAAACCGGGTGGCCGGAGCCGTGTGTGGTGGCCGGAGCCTTGTGTAAGGGAGAGAAAGAAAGTGGTGGCTAGGGTTTGTGAGAAATGATTTCTGCAGAGTTTCAGTAGGAATTTAGACGTACCTCCACCATTGTGTGTGGCTATGCTTTTATAATGGTCTTGGAGGCTAGGGTTTCAGAGGAATAATTCCGTAGATGGAAGGGAATTATTCCTCCCCTTTATGGAATTGATTTGATTAATTAGGGATTTGATTTATTAGGGTAAATCAAATCCCTAATTGTGGTAGGTATCAAATCAAATCCCATTTCAATTAGGTAACTCCTCATTTAATTGAGAATCGGGGTAGGAATTAGGAATCAATTCTCAACCCAATTAGGTAGTCTTCAATTTAATTGGGTAACCCCCAATTAAATTGAGTAACTCCCAATTAGGTTGATTAATTCCCAATTAGGTCAAATAATCCCCAAATGGAATGAATTATTTGACCTAGGGTTTTGGCTTAATTTGGTTACCACATCCACCATTTTGAAACACAACATATATCCCAAAATTTTGGGAACACATGTTGGCTTGCATTTAACAATATTTTTTTTCTTTAGAAATGAATATAATTTACTCAGATTTTTTCTTTTTTTTTAATCTCAACACTACTTACAACAGATGTTGTAAATTCTGTATGGCCTACTGGTTCATTATCTAGTCTACCAACTTCTTCTAATGCTCGAATACCATAATTTTCTGCGTGCTCGGTCAAGATTTCTAAGGATCAAAATAACAACTAGACACCATACCTAGAACATGGAACTGTAAAGACACCAACTTAAAGGGTTATGGAGCAGAACTCAAAGGTTCCTTGATAGACATCCTGTTATTGTTATGGCAAATATCAAACATGACCAAGTACTCAAACAAAGTATTGATCATTAGTTTAGCAAGATAATAACATAATTATAAAAGCGTTTCCTTGTTTTGGATAAGAAGTCTACTAAGAAAACCAAAAATAAAATAGAAAAATACTTACTTAATTTCTTTTGTTGCTGGAATTGTTATCACCCGGAATTAACGGTGGTTGAAGATATTAACATGGTTGAAGTAAGAGAGTGTGATAAGAGAAAGTATATGAACAAATGGAGTTGAAGAAGAGTACTGAGATTTCTTCGTCTCTGGTATTGTACTTCTCTCTTCATGAGTTCTACACTATACACATCATTAACCGACTTTACTAAGGATGGCTAAGGATGAGAAGAGGAGCATCTCTTCTCTCTATCTCTTTGTACTTGCATACACACTTCACACACACTTCACATGCAAACTGATGCAAAATATATGAATTCACATGCATTTTAAGACAAAATGCACTAAAAAATTATGTACAAACAAACAAAACATTATTGTTGGCATTGTCATTGCGCAGAAACAACTGTTGGACAAAGACAAAATCTTCACATGTTGGTTCTGGTGTCTTTATGATAAAATCTTCACATGTTGGTCTAGTCTCTTCACATGTTGATATTGGTCTTCGGTGGAGGAAAGAGCCCTAGGACTTGCATGTCTTTGGTGCTAAAGAGAAGAGGTTTTCTCTCGTCTTTTTAAAAATATTTTGGGTTTGTTTGAGAGTTGGATATCTGTTTGGGGTATTTTACTAGATTCCCTATCATGTAAATCTGTTCGCGTCCTATGAATGTTACTCTTATTTTTCTTATTTGGATCCTGGTCCAAATTTTGGCATCCAACACCATAATACAACAGATTTACGGCACAATTAGCCTGAACAAAGACAACATATAAATCTGAAATCCACTGGGGAGGTTGCATTTGGTTCTCGCTAGACAACAAAAATCTTAAATCTAGAACAACAATACCAAAAACAAAAATGCACAATTGGTTATTTCTTTCATTAGTTTTATGAATTTCCAATGTGTTTTTCCTTTTCCACCACTTCTTCAAATACAAAGGAAAGGCTATATTGACACATTTGGATGCCATAAAAAATAGCACTTCATATTTGTACAGCAATCCCCAACATGTGTATATTATCATTATTCTCAGACAATTGCAATCTCTCCATCTGATAAGCTTATATCATATATATATATGGTAAAAGAGAAAAAAAATTGAAAATGAAAAGAATTACAAAGATACAGTGATGAACAGAGCCCCCTACATAAATTTGAGTAAACCTGTTCTCAATCTTGATACTGTTGTGTGTTCTGTTGCTGAATGTTTATTAACTTGAAATATGGTCCATTTCTGTTCTCTATAAGACTCGAATGACTTCCTTGCTCTACAATCTTCCCGTCTTGTATAACTGAAATTTCATCTGCATTTTGTATTGTGGACAGCCTATGTGCCACCAACACGGTTGTACGGTTCTTCATCAATCTGTCAAGAGCTTGTTGCACCACACGCTCAGACTCCACATCAAGAGCACTGGTGGCCTCATCTAATAACAAAATTTCCGGATTCTTTAAAACCGCACGGGCAATGGCAACCCTTTGTCTTTGACCACCAGATAGTTGCACCCCTCGCTCTCCGACTTTAGTGGAATAGCCCTCAGGAAGGGCACTGATAAAACTGTGGGCATTAGCAAGCTTCGCCGCTTCAATAACTTCTGCTTCAGAAGATCCATCTTTTCCATAAAGAATGTTTTCATATATTGATGTGGCAAACAGAGCTGGTTCTTGTTGAACCAGGCCAATGTGCTTTCGAAGAGACCTGATCTTGAGTTTCTTGATGTCTTTCCCTGCATGGTGTATCAACATTTAGATAAACCTACCAAATTGAAAGAAACTTACTTTTGCAGCATATTTAAAAGCTCTTGGAAAAAAGAGAAGTTGAATGAATAATCATATGTTTTCAACATCAGAGAACAGATTCCTATAAGTTTTACGATGCAGAAGACCAAGGTCCTAGGGTGATAAACTATTTAAACTTCCGCAGGTCGTTGAATTATTTCAGAAACTTGCTCCGGAATTCTGTTTTGATCTTGCTTTTTCAAAGTTAACATGGATTTCCTTTTAAAATTGCACCAAGTATTTTTCTTCTATGTTTAAAATGGATTTCCTTTAAAAATTGCATCAAGTATTTTCTTCTATGTTCAAATTTACTTGTTCCCTGTCAGAGCAATAGAGCAAAGTTTTATGCACAAGACTTACCATCAATCATGACTTTCCCAGTTGTTGGATCGTAAAATCGGAGTATTAGAGAAAGCACAGAGCTTTTACCAGAACCACTTTGCCCCACTAATGCCATGCTCTTGCCTGACCTGACTTTCAAACTGAAGTCCCTGAAAAGCAATACGTCTGGTCTTGAGGGGTAGCTAAAGTGAACACTCCTAAGCTCAATTGTGCCTTCCAATTTCGTAAGCTCTTCGCCTATGTCCCCCAGGACCTCGGTTCTACGATCCAAAACTTCAAAGACTGATGCCACCATTTGGTTCCCTTTCAAAAGGTCGGGGGCTAATGCTAAAGTCTCACCCATTGCTAATGCCGTCACAATCAACACCATGAATGATTTCATGACAGATTTAAAGCTTGCAAGCTCCTTTCCCATCAAAACAGAACCATACCTGAACAGCAAGACGAGGGAGAAGAAAGAAGCTATCAATTCACATGAAGCTCTTCGAACATGTGAAATAAAGTAAGGATACTAGAAACTCAAATACCATAAACCTAATGGAAAATTATTCATTATCCAACTTGCATTTTTTATGGCAAACGTGGAGTGAAGAAGGAGGTAAAGCAGCATACCACAAGGCAAGGCCATAGGATGAGAATATGAAGAACTGGGATACACCGTAGAATATGCCAGCAATTTGACCACGAGTAAATGAACGTCTAGAAGGCTCAACTAGCTCACGAGAATAAAGGTCGATGACTTTCTCCTCAGAACAAAATGCAGCAACAGTGCGCATGTTACTCACAGCCTCCCCAGCTAGCATGTTAGCTCTTAGATATGCTTTGCTCAAGTTTCCACCATAGCCTTGCATGAAAAGTTTCTGCAACAAAAGATAAAAACTGTTGGCATACTATAAATAAATTTCTTCCTTATCTCTTTAAAGCTACAGAAGAAAGTAGGACCTCGCTGATGTGACCACTGATGATCAACGGATATGTGGCTAAGACGACGAGTGTGATTCTCCAATTCAAGATGAAGGCAATGATAAATGAGGCAACAACCAAACCCACATTCTGTAAAAGAATTGTTGACCGATCAACAACAATAGTTCTTAACAAAGTTGCATCACTTTCTAGACGTGACGAAAGCATAGAACTAGTGTTGTTTGTATCATCAAACCATCCGATCTCATTCCTCAAAATGGCTGCAATCAATTATAAGAGAAAATTAAAAAAGAGTAATCAATATCATACAATCTTATTCTAAGCTCAACGAAGGAAAACTTTACATATGTATAATACAAATATGTTCCCACACGTACGCATATATTAGTGCCATCAGACAAGACATAACAACGTGTTGTGATCTGTTTTTTGAAATCTATTAGGGACAATGCATTCTCAAGATGAAGGAAGGACACCAATGAAACATGAAAAATATATATAAATATTTGGACTGATTGGACCTCAAGCCTTGAAGAGATCATACAAACAGCTTTCAAAGGGAAGAACAAAACTTCAATTAACACCCTATAGATGCAACTGGAATAATACAGTATTTGATTGTGACATACCAGAAAACATCTTTTCTCTAACACGAAGAGTGAGTCGCTCTCCCATAATTCCAAAACAAAGATGCTCTATGGCATGAACAATGACAGTTAAAACTGCAGCCCCGCAGAAGAGTAAAGAGATTTTTTTAATCTCACGACATGTTGTGTCCCAGTCCATGTAAAAGGAAACAAGAGCCTGAGAGACCCCAAGAGCAAAAAGAGGCATCTGAGCTCCGGCAATAAGGGCACCAATGGTGCCAATCACCCCATAATACCAGTCTGGTCCAACCATGGAATACAGTCTCCCTGCTGAAACATGTCTTGACTTTACAGTCTCTATTCCATCAGCACCAGCACGGCCAAGAGATTCTTTATCAGAACGGAAGCTGGCTCCGAAACTTGTTGTAGTGCGTGATAATTCTCGTGAATACCTTATACTGGAAAAGAAAATAGATATTATGAAGACATGAATGTCAGAGACGAATTTACAAGCTAAACACATTCAAGGCTTCCCTTATCCTCGCTTTTAAGTAGAGCATTAATATTTCAAAGTAAAGATTTTCTATAATTAGCCTCTAACAAACTCATTATAATACTTTTCAGAAATTATTCTACTCATTTCAAATAGTTGAAGTTGCTCTAGGCATCAGAATATTTCATATGAAGTTTCCTGGATGTAACACTTTCAACCAAGTACCTTAGTGGCCGACCCAAGTGAGGATCAAGTGAGGGGTGTCGTTGCGAAGAAGCTGTTTCTTGTAATTGTACTAGTACTGCATAGACACCGTTCGGGTTAGAAATGAGCTCCTCGTGACTTCCAGTTTCCACTATTTTCCCCTCTTGAACAACAGCAATTACATCTGCATTCCTAACGGTAGAAAGACGATGGGCTACTACTACTGTTGTTCGTCCCACCATGGCGCGATCAAGAGCCTCCTGGACACTCTTCTCAGACTCTGCATCCAATGCACTTGTTGCTTCATCCAATAGAAGAATGGATGGATTCTTCACTATTGCACGTGCTATTGCAATTCTTTGCTTTTGTCCTCCTGAGAGTTGTATTCCTCTCTCACCAACCTGGAAAATAACATTTAAGCATCAATCCATGAAAAGCAAAAAAAGAAAAAGTCTCTAAGGTCCCATCTACTTCTCTACTATGTCTGCAGACAATATCCATATATATCATGATTAATTCTTGGTCTTCACCAAGCATGCTCTTGTAAAGTTAGTGTTGAAGTGGCACAGAGACTACTTTTCATTGTATAAAAAGTCCTTTTGTTTCCTCAAGCTATATGTTTCTACAGAAATTATGCACCATATGAAACTGGATCCAAGTAATAGATATCTGCAGTTGTTTCCACATCAGAATCCAATTTATGCACAAGGAAAAACGCAAGTTCTCTAGAGAAATAACATATCATTACCTGAGTTTCGAATCTCTCTGGGAGGTTATTTATGAAAGAGAGAGCCTCTGAGAGTTTAGCTGCATGTGTGATCTCATCGAATGTAGCATCGGATTTTCCATAAAGAATATTTTCCCTAATGCTTGTTGCAAAAAGTGCAGGCTCCTGGTTTACCAGCCCAGTCTGTTGCCTAAGCCACTTAAGGTCAAGCTCCCCAATATTATTTCCATCTAATAATATCCGGCCCGCAAGTGGCTCATAGAAGCGTTCAATCAAAGATATAACAGTACTCTTTCCAGACCCACTTCCTCCCACAAGGGCTACAATCTTTCCAGCAGGGATATCAAGATTGAGCTTGTTGAATATAGTAACATCGGGACGAGACGGGTAACTAAAACATATGTCCTTAAATTGGATGTGCCCCTCAATTTTGTCCAGCTTCTTGCCATTCTTGCTGCTAGATCGGCTTATTGTGTTCCTCTCTATCATTTCAAATATGGGATAGGCGGCTGCCTTAGCTCGAATGAATGCAGAGATGTCAGGTGCTGCCTGCCCCAGAGACCTTCCAATTAAAAAGCAAATAGTGTCATTGAGTTTGACGTTGTGTAAATCGAAATTTTCTAAGCCACAATACATTCGTCACAACTATAAACCAACTCAGTCAAATGTCATATAAACATCTTGAGGTTTTCTACAGCTTTCCACATTTTATATTGTGAAATCTAACTGAAGCATTATGCCTTGGCCTCCACTCTCCAGTAGCTTACTGTTTCTATACAAAACCAAGTTCTATGAATACCAGTAAAATTTTGTTCATATTTTATAAATGACAACCTGATTATTCACCAAAGTTGGTAATGTACTTCAGAGAAGTTTTGAAGCTTCCATTAACAACATAAAGTTGAAGAAGTGCAACATTTGCTTCTAGATAGCTACCTTATACTGCCTCCACTCAAATTCAAAAGAGATAAGAACTGGTGAATCAGAAATGCGTCCTAAGGCGTACTGATATGTCATTTTCATTGTCTTCACTTCCAACTCGTAGACTGAAATTTGCTAATCTAAAAATCTGAAATTATTGACTCAAAGATTCTGATCGAACAGTCAGTTTCATCCCACCTTGCGTGACCTTATCATTAACTAATGCTCAACTACTTAATATATGTTCCGGACTTCCAGTACACATATTGGTAAGAACAAGTTAAGATAGTAGAAAATAAAACTTACAGGCCAGCAATGACAACATTAAGCATGGTGGTGAAGGACTCGCCGCCATTGGCGATACCCTTGTGAACAACAATGCTGGTGAACCAAACTAGCAATGACCATGAAAGGAAAAGGGAGCAGTGCATGGAGCCAAGCCCAAGACCCTTTGCTAGTCCTGCTTTTCTCCCATACTTGTATGTATTCAAAAGAGCTGTCTTGTACTCTCTTACTGCCTTCTCTTCTGCTGCAAATGCTTGCACTGTCCTCACATTTCCTATCACCTGATCAAATAATCACAAAAAGAAAATATATATATCAAACAAAGCAGTATAAGGGATCCCTTTCCGGAAGAGAGAGGCCTAGCAATGAGACCAATTGTGAGAGAGAGAGAGAGAGAGAGAGAGAGAGAGAGAGAGAGAGAGGTGACCTCTTCAGCAATTTCTCCAGCCTTGACATAAGATTTGCGAACCCTTGCAATGAGACCAATTGTGACATATGCATAGAGACCACCAGCAAGGGCAATTAATGGAACAATGGAGAGAGTGACCAGACTAATTTGCCATACCCTAACAAACCCTATTATGAATCCTGCTAGAAATCGGCTTATGTAGTGCATGAAGTTCCCTACCTGCATCATCATCCACCCTCATCATTCAACTATATATATATATATATATATATATATATAACATTAAAAACTGCAGAAATTTGTTAAAATTTTCACATTAATTAATTTATTTTTCCTATGCATACACACAAAAGCAATCATTGATCCTATAACCGAAAAACTTATTAAATAAGGTGCAACGAATTACAAAATATATTTTACGGATCTTATAACCAAATAAATCAAATTTCAATCGAGTCAAGAATTTTAACGAAAAATTACTAAACCTAATACAAGGGTCATTTAAATTATGTCCTAAATTTTCTAATTAATTCACTCCCATAATTGTTTCCTTAAAATTGTGATCGATTATTAAATCAGTAAATTGTCACCTTTTTACTTTTTATTCTTATTCTCGATTTTCGTAATGTTTTGGAAAAAAAAACAAAAACAAAAACATGGTCACGTTACATGCTGGTCTGCCATGCTTCAAAATAGCCCATGACGAAGTGCAGTGACAGAAGATTGGATCGATTATTAAGGATCTATCTTACGAAAAAAAAAAAGTTTATTAAGGATCTAATCTGATAGAAACATAATTAATTTTGCTCTAGATGCCCTAAATACTTTCTCCTCTTAAATGATTTCCGAAAATAGAAGCCTATCCAGCTGGCAATTAAAGACAATGAAACACTCGAAAGCCAACCAACCCCCTCAACCGACTTATAAATGCTGATAGCCTTTGCATTTACTTCTGCACTGGCTCCGTCTCCGTCTCCGTCTCCAGAGAGAGAGCCCTAGAAATTAGATAGAGCTCACGCTGATTTCCACACGAAAATGGAATTAAAAGCCCTAGATAACAACAACTATTTTGACTCTCATAAATCCCACTTCTTTCATTAATTCATCAACCTTTTTTCTTTACCTTTACGCAAGGCTTAAATTGATTATATGTGAAAATTATGGCGTGTAAATTGATGAAATTGAATGCCAGGAGCCCATCTTGAGAATAATCCCAAACATCAAGAGAGTATTTTGTCGTTAAGATCTTTGTGATTGACGGTTTTAGACTTGAATTACGAATGCAATTCGTCGCCTTTTCTCAAAAAAGAAAGTTCTGAAAATAAATATTAAAAATAAAAATAAAAAATAGTTGGGAAACAAATGGTCCACTAGTCTTATTAATAAGGTTGGACCTACCTTATGATAAATAATGCATTCATGCATTAATTAGCTAAATATTTATGCTTATGATTGTAACTAGTAGGTAGTAGGTAGTAGGTTACTAATAATGAAAATTAATTAACATGAGAGCCTCACCTTCTCAGAAAGGGCATCTTGAACAACAATAATGTCACTTGTAATTGCAGATATCACCTCTCCTGTGGAAGCTTCAGTGTCGAAAAGACTTATATCTTGATTAAGCATTGCCCTCAAATATGCCATCCTCATTTTGGCCGCTTGCCTTTCCCCAGTATGCATCCAACAAGCCACCTCTACAGAAATATAAATATATATTTGCAACATTATTTTAAAAAATAAATTAAAATAAACCAAACTCTCTAATGCTTGATTTACAAAATCCAATCGTACCCGTCCATGAAGAAAACAATATAGCCACACTGAGATATACAAAATCCAAGGAGTACTGCAAGAAGAAGAATATAAGATGAAATTCAAGTCGAATATAAACACACACACATGTATATATATAATTAATATACCTTAGCAACTTTGGAAGAAGCTTCCTTGGGAAAGAGATAAGCCATGCCAATAATATTGATCAACTTGCCAAAGAAGATAAAGAAGACAGGGACAGAAGCACCATGAACACATGCGCCAACAGATCCGATAGCCATTAGAAAGTAGTCATAAGAATCAGCAAATGAGAAGAGCTTCAACAATGAAACCTTGCGCTGCTTATCTTTACTATTATTTTTAGCATTTCCTTCTTCTTCTTCTTCTTTCATCTTCTTCATCTCCTTCAACATGATACCTTCTGCCTCATGAGTAGCACCATTGCTGGAAAATGTGTTCTGCCGCGCCATTTATTTGCCTCGACTCTCTCAAGAGAGTGTTTGATAAAACTGAATGAGCAATGTGTGTATGAGAGCTGAGGAAGAAGAAGATGAGGTTGTGCACATGTGAAGGTGTTTATGAAATTACAGCATATGGATGGGAGGATGGGTTCATTGAAATACAAACAAAAAGAACCCCAAAAATTTAAAATAAAGAGAGAAAAAAGTTGGATGAGTCATTAAGAGCTAGTCATAAGCACCTTGGGTGGTTGACTATGTTATGTTACAGCATCACTGTGGGCGAGATGAGCCAGTGGCAGTTGTGGTTATTACGCACCTTTCTCCACCCTATAATAACTGCGTTGAAATCAGACACTTCAATTCAATTCTCTCTCTCTCTCTCTCTCTCTCTCTCTCTCTCTCTCTCTCTCTCTCTCTCTCTCTCTCTCTCTCTCTCTCTGTTTTTATCTTTTTGGGTCCAAAAACTAAATCGAAGGGATATTGGAGATTGCTATGAGATGTTACTTTGCTTACGTGAAAAAATTATTGTATGATATTGGAATAATATGGATGAACAGAAGTTTGCTCTAAATTATTATATGATATTAAAACACCGTCAAGTGATATAATTTGTCTATGTGTTATAACATAGATGGGCGACAACTCTCTCTCTATAACGAATTTAATTTGGATGAGGTAGTTCTATGTGAGCTTAGGGGCCACCCCTTCGGCGTTGATGTCATATGCCCTACCGCTTGAGAAATAGTATAAATGCAAAGATAACCCAATTGTGAATCGATACCAAAAGCAAGCCACATGAGGCATTACTGATCGGAAAAGCTTAGCTGGCCATGTTTTATCGTATGTTATATGCAGTGGAGTATATTGCTGGTAAATTCTCTTCTTCTCCCAACTTTGGAGCTGTCATAATAACATCGATTTCTTTAGGCCCACAATGAACCTGTGTATTAAAAGTATGAGATGGCATCAAGGTACATGGGTAGTTCTGCTCATCTCAACCGTTAAAGTTGTAATTATTGGTGGGTTCGTAGGGATCATTATCATCACTCATCTTGGTTAAACCCTAAAAACAGGGGCTTTTTATATGGTAATATATTTTCTTGTCAAATATCTATCTAGCTTATATAATGTTGGCAAAGTCTTAATCTTTTCTTCTTGTTGTCAAAGTCTTAATCTTTGATCAAATTTAGTAGTTTAACATGGCATCTTATGTTGCCAAATCCAATCAATATTGGTCCGTATAAATATTATTTAAAATCAATATATATAACCAGAAATAAGAAAAGATGAAAACAAAAAACAAAAAACAAAATGAAAACAAAGAAAAATGTTTCTTATTAGGAAATGCGAGCAGAAGTTTAAAACACCCAAGCACCCAATGAATATTTATGTAAACCCCCTTCTCTCAATCGCTTGTACCTAAAAAAATATTTTATTTTTTTATTTTTTAATATTTTTATTAACCATCCTAAAAACTAATGTAAGTAATCAAGTAAAATATTCCTCAGACCTGAACGGAGCATGACTCTTTGATAATGTATTTTTCCCTGCACTTAGTGAGGCCTTGATGGCGAGAGAAAGGTTGGTTGTTGGCGGAGGAAATTTACGGAGCATGCCGCTTTGATCATTCCTACGTCAATGCACCAAGGGCTTGTTTGGTTTCTAGCTAGGATTGGATTGGAAATTTACGGAATGTTGATAGAGGAAATGAAACAAACAGATAAGATCCAATCCAATCCTAAGCACCAAATAAGCCTCAAACCAATCAACTTCCTAAAAACAAACACATAATAAGATCTACAAAGAAAACATCATTTCTCTACACTGTCTATTTGAAGAGTTGTTCTATATCAAAAAGTTAAGGGACGGACGATTATATATTTTCTATTACCAATTAGTTTTGGGTGTAACTTTAACTTCCTTTAGTCTTGTTCACCATCTATTAATTATATTCAATTTTATATATATATATCTCTCTCTTTATACGTCAAATTAGAAATAGAGATTTCATGCAAAACAAGTAGTTGCGTCTGGCATTAAATTTATTTCAAGTTCTGAGTTCTACGGGTAACGGGACTGATGAAGATGTGTTGACAAAACAGGCTCATATGAGAGAGACGGTGCCCTCGCAACTGCAATCAGGTTGTACATGTCGTGCCCTTCATTGTAATGACTTTTGAGCTTGGATTGGCTTCAACCTCCTCTTTCAAATCAAAACTATGTTGTTGTAAATGCTGGCATATCCCAACTGCATGCAAATTTTGAAGCCATAAAAAAATAAAAATTAATCAACATTCGTTTTGACTTTCGATTTGAGGATTAAATCCCAGCAAAACATGGACATAGAATCCCATCAAACATGTGTGCCTTATTGAAGAGCACATATACAAGTGATTGTCTAAATTATTCTAAATTAATCAAATTTACAAAAAATAGCTTTCAAATTTGGGTGTCAGGAAGTGAGTAGGCTCACTGCCCTGACGAATTAGCTTAACACCACATCTAAAACAATAAAAGACAAATTAAAAGAAATTTAGTTATGATTAACGAAATAGACGAACACAGTGCTTCAAAAATTTATTAAAATAACAATCATTTATTTGAGTTCAAATCATTTGAGGAATTCAAGCGATTTTTTATAGAGATATTTGTTGAAGAATATAAGTCTCACATCAGATGTTTGACTAAATAAAATACAAGTATAATTAATGGTTCCCCTACTAATATCACTGAGGTCTTTTGTGATAAAACCTCACACCATTGGGCTTTGTAGGTGGTTAAGTTGGGAACAATATCGGTATTGCTAGTAGTAGACCGCTGACTTGTCCCCCTAAAATTTAACAATATCCCTCAAATAAGTGTTTTTTTTTAGTCATTTCAATCAAAACAATGATTTATGCTATTTGGGTTTGTGGAATTTTCATCTTGGCAACTAAAGTCAAAACGCTTTTATGAAGTTAGTTGTTCATTAGAAATTGCAAATCCCATTATCTTTATCTAATCTGAATAATAGACAACACTGTTTGCAAACCTTATCTCAATATTGTAGGTTTGAGGCGGGGTGGTTACAAATAAAAATCGTGGTGATGCTCACTTACATGTACAAATAGTGATATGTCCTCATCTGGATGTATTATCAACTCTTTCTCTTCCACTTCCTTTCTTCATTCACATGGTATCTCAGCAACTTGATCTAAATCATCAATTTACTTCCATCGGCTTGTCGTATTTTGCATCATAGTCTCCTTCATCGAATTTGTTCCCTAGAAAGATAAAATTAGAGAAATGAAGTAGGTGCCAAGAGCACATCCCTATTTATCATTTTCTGTCGTATCACACATCAAAATGGGAGAACGAAATTGCTTCGCTAGGCTCCATTCGGATGGAAGGATTACAAAAGTTAGAGAATTATTTAATACGACAGTCATATATATCCGCGAACTTTCACCACTCAACCATGGAACAAAAACTTGTGGCTGTATCTCAGAAACTTCCCAGTTCCAAGGGTGCCTGCTGATGTTGTTGTTGTATGTGAATCCGAATCATAAAAAGAATAGCTTTGTGAGCATGTTTCAATTGATTTTGCTTTTCATTTTAATTTTTCTAATATGAAAAATGATTAACTTTTCATTTCATTTCTTAACATTTTTATTTTTATTTAATTATATTTTATATGAGAGAGTAATGCAGCAAGAAATAACAGTTGAGAGGTGGAGAGAAGGTCATAGTAGTTGGAAGGAATTTAAATGCTGTGAAGGACCAACAACTAGTTGGGGTAATTCAATGCTTGGCTACACTACACAATAGCCTATGCCCTCTCTAGTCTTTGCCACCTCACACACATGCTTCAATTTTGATTTGTCTCACTCCATCCACATTCCACACCTTATTACATCTCATTACAGTTGAGTTCAGGATTTCTCATTACTTGTACGCTTAGGTCAGGATACAGGGTCAAAAATAATTTTCATTTGGATTTTATGCAACAAGATTGGGATGTGGTCCAACAGGATTAGGACTTTACTGGACCAAGTCTCAATCCTATTTTCGGTCTATTAGAAACACTTAATAAATGCGACAATCACTATATATATATGTGCTAATTATTGTTTGGAGGTGATTACAAGTTAACGTCGGAGCATCAATAGGTGCAAGAGCGGTGGAAGTGGAAAGTTGGGTACCCAAAAAAAATAAAATCATTTGGATACATGGTCCAAATAATTTTTATTTGGATTTTATGGAACAAGATTGGGATTTGGTCCAACAGGATTAGGACTTTAGGCAATTTCCTGATGGGGAGGGCTATATTTAGCTCTCTTAAAAATAATTTTATAAGGAATAGTGTTAGGCTACATTTTAACCGTCTTCAACAACAAAGGGCTAAAATTAATCTTTTAATAGTTTTTAGTATATTATGTAAATTTATTAGTTAATTTAATTAAACTACTATTTATAAATAAATAAAAACCTTAAAAATTCATTTAAAAACAACAAACATCAATTTAAAAACAACAACTTAAACATTAAATTAAAACAACAACTTAAATATTAATTTAGAAACAACAACTTAACAATTAAAAAAAAATCATCTTCTCCCGGAATTGTAGGATGATAGTTGGATGTTAAATCCGAATTCAAAAACAACTCCCATGCACGGTGTTGGTCCCGAATTTCTCTCTTTTTAAAGTCAAAATACTCCTTTAAAAATTTCCCACCAATGATGAAGTTTAAAGGCTTTTTTGGCATCTTCATTATAGATAATATGTAAAACGATGGAGATATTGTCAAAAATTTGTATAGCCCTCTCTTTTTTTGTAGCCCTTCATGTATCCCACTCTTGGAGATGAGTTTTGGGGATTTTGGGCTATATCTGAGGATATAGGCCTCACTTGGAGATGGCCTCGCTGGAACAAGTCCCATTCCTATTTTCGTTCTACCCATCAAACGAGGCCTATTACAAGCACCTAATAAATGTGACAATCACTTGATATATGTGCTAATTATTGTTTGGGGGTGATTAATTGTGTGCATAAACTAAGAAATTGTTGTACCATATTTGGAAAATGGGTCAAAGATGGTTTTATTTCTCAAATAAGATTACATTAAACCCAAGCACAACCTCTTTCTTTCATAAACAAAGAAAATGGCTTTTTGTACTTGGGCCAGCAATGGGCAAAACCCTCTCAAAAGCCCGTAGTACGTAAAGGTCCTAGCTTTGGTCCACACTAAAGTTAAGAAAATAGGTAACTGTTACCTATTGACCCATGTGAGGGTTTGAAGATGGGTTATCGAGGAATTAAAAAGTAAGTGAGGCCCACACAAAATTAGGAATTAAATTCCTGATTTTGAAGGAATTCAATTCTTGAGTGGGATGTGATATTCTAATTCCGAGAGAACTAACCCATTAGGAATTCATCTTTTTTACCCATTATATCCTCACACAATTTTAAAAATTCCAAATTTGTCATCTACTTTTACCTAACAACGAGGACATTTTAGTAGTTAGTACCACTCCTACACCAATTCCATATGGTTTAGTAAACACCTTAATAGGATTTCGTAATCTAACTCCCCTCAATCCATATGGTTTAGTAAACAAGTTCAATAGGAATCTGGAATCTAATTCTCCTCAATCTAACTCCTCCTCAATTCAATTCCTCATAATCCAATTACATATTAGTAAACATGCCATAAATGAGTCCTAAAATTTAATACACTGAAACAAACACAAAAGAAATTAAAAGCACAAGTTTAACTCAAAAAAATAACGAAATCATAAGCTAGAAGGGTACAAAATTATATACAATTATGCCCTGATCACAAAATAAGGTTATTTCTTACCTCAGTACTACTGAGGCATAAATCCATGTCTGAGCCCTTTCAGAATGAGGCTCCACTTCCCCTGCTCCAGCTGTTTCCTTTGGAAGAACTTCTCCAACATTAGGAATTGGGCTTGAAGATGCCACTGGAGCTAATGGAGAGGAAGGAGGAGAAGGAATCTACATACAAATAAATTAAGATTAGCAACGACAATTCCATGGTTTCTACTAACCAACAAATAACTAGCCTTAAAGGAATACCTGGGGCCAGCAGTGGTTGACTCTGGAGTCTTTGCAGGTGAAGTCCTCGCCCGCTTGCTTTGAGTAATCTCAGGCTAAACCTAGCCCACATCGCCACCACTTATAGACTATTCAGGCAAAGACCTCTTTCTAGTACCCAGTTTTTCAACTACATCAAACAAAGGAACGATTCAGAATCCATGCAATTAGGAAGAGCGATTCCTAGAGATCATGAATATGGTTTCTTTTGCCTCTACCTGAAGAGGAAAGAAAAAGAGGTACAATAGAATCGGGCATGCTAGCCTTTGAAGGGCTAGCAGCCTTGGCAACCGCAAAAACAGAAGGCATTATCTTCACCAAATTTCGCTTTCTCTGAACAAAAATCGGAGCTTTTGGCCCAACAGACCCTGAACCTTCACTAGTAGCTTTGCCCTTCTCAGTCGCCAGCTTGCTGGCTGGACAGAAAGTCTGGTAACTAGTGCCAACAACAAACAACAAACAAAAGTCAACTAAAAATAAAAGACAAGTTAAAGTCTAACCCAACTAAGAACTTTCCTTACCAATCATTGGCAATTTGTTATCCTTTGCTATTTGAGTTAGAAGTGCTTGTTTTTCTCTCTTGCCAAGCTCAGGGCAAAAAGGGCAACCTTCGAACACATTTTTATATGCAGCTTCTATGGCCCCGAATCGGCCTTGGTAGTGATCCCACCAAGCCTTAAGGGCCTCGATACAACAAGAATCAGGCTAATAGGACTTTAACTCCAGAGCCTGGGCAGAATCTGCATACTTAGCCTTAATTCCCAAGAGATTGTCTCGGCTCAACTTGGGGAATCTATAAGATGAACCTTTGTTGACTAGAAAATAATTCAACTCTGGGATTACTTAGGGGCATCCAAGCTGTTTGTTGAAAAACTGGGGGTTATAAGCCTCTACACCATATTGGGAATTTTTGGTGTCCATTTTTCCACTGCAGGGCAAATCCTGTGATTGAAGACAACAGAATATCTCCATATTCTCAAAATCCATGGCCTATTAGCATCTTTAGGGCCTTGATAAATAAGCTTCTTCTTAAAACCAAGAGCAGCCTTTCTTCAGGCTCATCAGCCATTGAGCAGCATGTCTGGTCTTTCTGCCCATGAAGAATGTGAAGCACTCTTCAGTTGTCTTCCCAGAAATCAGCTCAAAACCAAGTCCCTCAAAGGCACCACCTCATGGGATGTCTATAGTTTTCGTCCCATTAACTCTGGAAACGACCATTGGAGCCAAACTCGAACTATCATAAAGGTCCTTTTACATTGAGGTTGATGGACTCAATGGTCGCTTCTCTTAGACCTCTGTAGATGGAGGCTAAGATCAAAGGCGCAGTAGCAATGTCTCTGTAAGTGGCCAAACCCCCTGCCAACTGAAGCCACTCCATGGTAATGCAGTTTGTAAAATCCCGACCCAAATTTAAGTATTCATTTTCTAATATGGGAAGATTTTGAGAAAATGAATGGCACCATGACATAGATCGTGTCGAGATGAGTCCGTAGACAATTAATGGGCTCAAATCGAAGTTGTAACGAAGAACTTATGATCAACAGAAGCCCAATGACACAACCGTAAATATTTCGAAGTTCAGTTTTTAAAATATTAGATTCCTCTTTCTCTCGCTCTCTCTCTCTCTCTCTCTCTCTCTCTCTCTCTCTCTCTCTCTCTCTCTCCCTCACGAATTTGCCTCTCTCTCATCCTCCACGAACAGCAGATTTCAGACAGAGATATCTCCGCTAAATGACCACCAAAACCAATGCTACAACTTCCAAACTCTTCGTCTATCTCCTCTCTTTCCATACATACCCATATCTAGCCATGATTCCAAGCGATGAAACCAAAAACTGAACGAAAAAGGACTACTTGTGAGTGGACATTGTTTTCAAATAATGAGCATTATTTTATGACATAAAAACTATGCACAATGATTTATTGGTTTATTGAATTTATTATATAATTAATAGTTGAAACTTGATATTTTCGTAAAGTAATTGCAATATATTTGGGTTTTGGCATATTCCGAATATCTTGAGTTGATATATATTATTTTTGAGAATTCCTATCTATGCTTCGTTATGTGTGGGTACGTGGGGTGTTGGTAATGAGATTACAGAAAGAGAGTGGATTATAGTTTGTGTCAATTTCAAGTTCTATAAGCACTACCTTATGTACCTCCCCGGATTTGGAAATTATGGATTGGAAGTTGGGAACTATGGATATTGGATATGTTGGAACCCAGGCACCTTTGATGGGGTGTTTCATAGACCCTTAGCGGGGTTAGTCTGCGCGCGTAGGACTTGTCACAGGCCTACCAGTATTGAGGATTCTGTTGTACGTGTTGGTGAGCTTAGTCCCAGTTGGACAGCTCGTTCCCTAGCCACATAGTCAATTGAGGATTCTTCCATGTGGAACAATCCCCCGGTTTGATTGTTTCCCCGATACAAACTTGGTCCTCGCTCGCCATGCCAATGGACACGCATTTTGAGAGAGTGGTTTGGGGAAATGGTTTTGTATTGGATGGATTATTTGGATATCTTTATTATATATGGATTTCATTGTAGTTTTGACGTGGCTATATATACATATATATATATCTATCTATCTATGATGGCTTTGAGTGCATGTTTTATGCATCGTTTTCCAAACGATAGGGTTACTATATGTTGTTTTCAACTAATGAAACTTTGTTTTTGACCACTCACACATTTTCTGTTTTTCTGCCCCCCCACCCCCCCCCCCCCCCCCCCCCAGGTAGTTGGTTGTCTTGAAATCGAATGGCCGTAGCAAGTTGTGAGCCTCGAGACGAGCTTATGCAGGATAAACTTTTAAATCATTTCTCTTATGTTGAACTTTATTGCCCATGTTAGGATTGATTGTAAGGCCGGAGGCCTAATATGTAAACTGCATGAATTTATCTTGTGCATACTGCCTGTTGAGTTATATAATTGTGTTTTTAACAGGTTGAGAAATTTGGGAATGTCCATTTTCCAAGGAAAACTCTGCCTAAATTTCGGCAGAAAGTCTCGTCTCATTTAGTAAGTCGGCTCGGCATCGGTGCGATGTCGAATATTCCACAGGATTGGTCCCAGGTTCCAAGGAATTTCGGGAAGAGTCCTGTCACAGTTAAAGGCTCTGGGAAATACGAACCTATTTAACCAATGCAACAGGAACATAATGTGCTTGCCATGAAGGTAATCAACCTTTTCATTCATAAAAGCTCCCATGAAGACCCATAAGTTCTACTAGAGTCGATTATACCAGAAAAAATTTCAAGGTTCTTTCTCCTCTCTATCCTTTGAATGATCATCTTGGAAATCTCCAAACCAATCAGCACTTCTTCCATGAGGTTGAAACCCAAAAATCACGTCGAGGTCAAGGATGGAGATTAACATCAAACCAACGCCAAAGTCGAAGGTGTTAAAGGCACTGTTCCAGAACTCACGGCCAAACCCAGAAGTGGAGATTCATCCTGAAGTACAACAGTCGAATACACAATGGCATGATAGATACCATTATCAAGCCAGGAATTCTTTTACTGAGGTTCCATCCTTTTTACCCAATCCACCCAATAGAAGTCCATACTTGACACGTCTATTTTTGGGAATAACCTCGGCAACATCTTATTCCAATTCGTCCAGTCGATTCCTTTAGATTGACAAACAGGGATAGAAGCCCTGATTGGGTGAGGTTCATACTTGCAGAGCTGATCAGATTTCTTCTCTAGATACCTAGGCCCCAAGACGCAATTATTGTTTAAGAAGCTGATGAGATTAAGCTCGACCATTAGCAAATCTTTCGACCAAGCCATCAAAGACGATGGCAAATTCATTCACTCCAACCCCTAAGATGAAGGGAAAACTCTTAGGTACAACCTCCGACGATGAAGAATCGGGAATAGTGACAAAATCTCTCTTTGGTGCCATATGATCAAATGGTTATCTTTGTTTGAAAGTTCGAAGTTTGAAAATCGGAGGTCATGGTTTTCTCTGAAGAACTTTGGTTCTCTTGACGCGACAGTTAGAATTCAGAAAGGTGAAAATGGAGAAGGTCACAAATGAAGAATTTAAAGCTTAGTGCTTCTTTTCGAGGGAGTCGTTTGTCGTATAGTTTTTCCCACGTGGCCAAACCATGACCTTTTACAAATCCATAAACAAAGGCGCCTCGAATGACGTGGGAAAAGCTTACTTTATAAAGATAAGCCCAAACAAAAACTTTAAGAGCTTTAAGACACACATCTTATTCCTTAAACGAATTTATGTTTTTGGTTCATTTAATTCTCGTTAACAATTAATAGTCGGGTCATCTTAAGTGTGTCTTAGATATATTTAATAGACCAATTAATGGTTAGTTTAAATATAACAGACTAAATTGAAAAATCGACAACCAAAAATATGGGTCTCAAAGCCAAATTGTTAGAATTCATACAAACATGAATGAGTATTTTTCAGCCCAAAAAAGGGTAAGGACTTGGTTCAAGAAATGAATTCTAAAACCGTAGATATGAGGTCTGTTACATTGTCTAATTCTAAGCTAAGGTCCTTGTGCATTGTGGCTGCCTTTTTGTTAGCCAATCTTGCCTAAAAAGTACGAGAAGTCAGGTCTTGGATGGCAGGCTCACTAGCAGCAATTCGGGCTCGACTCTCTTCCAGCTTCTCCTCCAGCTTTGCCTGAATATCAAAGCAGTAATGTTGACTCTCAACTCTTCTTCTTCCCCCTCTAATTCCTCAAGTTTGTCCAGAATGTCCTCTGTCATTTCAGTAAGCTCCAGATATCTGGTTTTGCTGTCATAGTGGTCTTTAAGGACCTCTTCTAGATCCACCATTGTTGGAAGAATCTCCCTGATCATGCTCATATGTCTCAATGTCTTGCTCAACTAGTGCTCTAGGGATTGGCATGCTAGGGCCAAGTGGGGTCAAGTAGTAGAGTTTGGCATGCCTAGTACCATAATTAATCGTCTTCCTTGTAAGGATGTCTTAAAAAACACAATGATTCAGCCAAAATGTTATAGTACACTCTAAAGTAGTAGTAAGTTGTGCAACAAACAACAAGTTATGGTCCCATAATGGAACAATCAATACAGAATCCAAATGTATGGAGTTAGAGAGAGATAGAGAGCCTCTCGACCACAGGGGAGGGAGTACCATTAGCATTAGACACTATCGACTAAGTGGATGGTTTGCAACTAATAAGTTGACCAGGATCAAATGTCATGTGATCTATAGCACCCGAGTCAATAATCCATGTGGGCTTTGGAGAGGACGTGTGAAAGAAAAAACCTTTGGTGGTGGTGATAGAAGCACGAACTCGAGTAACCGGTTCAGCAGGATTGACCGCACACTTCTGTGAGTTTGCAAGGAATGAGAGAACTATAGGAAGTGCTGACATCGCAGTGAAAGTAAGATTTGATATGAGTGTGTTTTTATGGGTAAGGAGTTTATTTGAGAATTTGAGGAGTTTGATTTGAAGAATTTGATGTATGAATTTGATTTAGGAATTTGATTTGAGAGGTATGTTTTTAAGGAGTTTGATAAGAGGATTTGATTTGAGAGGTAAGGAATTTGATTTAGGGTTTGAATTTGAAGGTATGATGTGAGGGCTTAAAGACAACCTAGGATCGATTGCTCCAATACTATGCTAAAATATGAATCTGGTTTGAATACTTTAGATTAATTGTATTCTTCTCCATAAGGGGGTATATATAGAAGTTTACAATGGTGCTTTACAAGGAAATAGATACAGTAATTAATTAGTAGAATAACTCAGATGTGTCAACTATATAAAACAAGGAAGTAAATCACCTAATTAACTTAAAAAATAAATATCTTTAATTTAGTAGGTTAACTCACGCCAACACATTGAAATTTAGAATTCTAGTCCTCCAAATTATATGGCACTTTAGTTCCAAAGCATTTTTCTTTTTTGTCTTCTTCTTCTGATATACCTTTCAAACATGAAAATCGTGGTGTTTTGGGCCTAAAATTATTGAGAGGCAAAGAAAAACATAAGCAAGCTAAAGTCAAAGCAGCAGGTGTTCGTGTCCGTTCCGAAAATCCACATTAAACCAAAGAGAAGGGAGTGTCCAATATCTAAGTAACTTTGGTAGCTTCTAGCAGCCTTTTCTTGCTTTGTTGTTGAAGGAAAACTCTCCTAGAAAAGAAAAAACTTAAAAGAAGATACTCGATGGATCTTATAATCATATATACGTGTTAAACCTAAAAGGAAAACTACAAAACCATTTACAAGATTTCATCTCCATTTGCATTAAGCTTTCTACATACCCCTCCAAAACCCCTTTGCGTATGTCCCTGGAACTTGTTCACCTTTGGCATGGCATAAGTTCAGCAACAACTGCAGCTTCACATCATGGGTAAGGAGCTCACTTTCTCTGTTTTCCCCCTTTGAGTAATAAAATCAGTTATGTCTAGAACTTATCATCATGCTATACTTTACCAACAGATACAGCTCTCTACTCAAGTATATGCATTAATTCCAATCACTTTTGGAGTTTTAATTCTTGCACAAATCCTTGAAATCAATTGTTTCTTATGAAGCATCAACAAATTATTGGATTTTAGGTGTATGCTAATACTTCACTTCTAGGCATTGCCTGATTTTATTTTATTTTATTACTGAGAAATTCTCTTTATTTTCATGGTAATTTGCTGAAACTTAGAAAACTTTTTACTTTTTTAAAATAGAAACTAACGCCATTTGGGTTTTTCTTAATGATTTTATATACATTTATCCCTACTCAATAAAGTGTCAACTATTTTAGTATTTATATTAACCAAAGGCTTGTGGGGATTTTGAATGTTTCACGTATATATAGTTCCTTTCTATTTTAGTATATATAGTGGCGGAGCCACAATGGGTTCAGTGGGGTCGCACGACCTCTTGGAAGCCATGAAAATAAGCTTAGAGGTCCCTTGGAGCTGCACACCAAGTGGTCGACGAAATGATTGAAAGAACGAAGGGTTTGCAGCATGAAGAAGAAGGCTGTGCTCTGGACTTCTTTTTTTTAAAACAACTTGGGTAAAACGACGTCGTTTTGGCCCAGGGAATTTTTTTAATACAAATTTATAAATAAACCCAATCCTAGACATGTATTTATAAAAAAACCCAAGTACTATTTAAACATAGAAACACACCCAAAATCAACCCCAAAATCAACAATTGTATATTTTTTGGGTGTGTTTATAAATGGGTTTTGAGTGTGTGTAATGATGGGTTTTGGGTGTGTTTATAAAGTGTTTTGGGTGTTGGGTTTTTTTATAATTTCAGCCCCCATTTTGGGTGTTTTAGTAAAACTCTCTTTTTTTAAATGACTTGGCCAAAACGACGTCATTTTGGGCCAGGTCTGAAACAAAAAGAAAATAAGAAAAAGACTAGTGTATCCTTCTCTAGCCACTGCTTCTCTCTACATACCCGATTCCTCTATTCTAAAACCCCAATTTTTTTTGTTTTATCCTCCAACCCTAAGTTCCAAACTCAATCCCCCCCCTCCCCCAAACCCTCAACTCCATCTCCTCCCTTGCTACCACCATTGGGGTGCCTCTGTGCTGCCGTTGTCGTTCCGGTGTAGTGGTGCCGCCAACTACTCTCTTTGTTTTTGCTCTTTGTTATCGTGAAATTTCACTTTCAATATTTTTTTCCATCCTAAATTTTTATTGGGACTTTTACACTAAGATCCCTTGTGGTAGGATTCCTGGCTCCGCCACTGTATATATATATATAGTTCTTTTTTATTGAGAGATCTCTTAAATAATTTTATTTCAAGACACCCTTTACGGTACCCTATGATTTTTTTTCCAACAATCTAAACTATCTATTTTTAAGTCTAAGTTCATACATCATCCTTGCAAAAATATAGACAAATCGGAAAACGTTTCGACATCCAATTGTATCCTACAAAATCGATGAACTTGGTGCTTCAAGAAAGTACTAAAATTTCAATAACACAATTGAATGGTCAAATGATATTGGATTCATGTGATTTTTTATAGAGATAATCTTTGAATGATTATCTAAAATATAGATGGTTTGGATTAGTGAAATACAATGTGAAGTGGATCCTACAAAAGTGTGCCTCAAACAATTTAATTTGAAGGATATATATTTTTTAAAAGCCTTCTATTTTTATAGTAGAGTGGATGTAGAACATGTCTCATTTTCAGATTTTTTGTTTTTCAAATTAATATGATATCCTCATTTAAGGGTATTTTTTGGGATTTTAAATGTTTCACTACTCATAATGGTCTCATCAATCATCATTGTACAATTTGAATTTCTAGCAGTTGAAGATGACAAAGGGGGAAACTCAAGTGAACACACAAGAGTCAACAATGAATCAAAAATGGCTCAAGGCAGAAACTTCAAGTGGTGGTTTCTTATAGCCACCTATATATTCTTTGCCCTCTCTGACCAGTCAGCAGGAACACTTTTGGGAAGACTATACTTTGAAGAAGGTGGAAAGAGCAAATGGATAGGAGCACTTGTTCAACTTGTAGGGTTTCCAATCCTCCTTCCTTTCTGTTTTTTCTTAAAATCCAAGAAAATTAATCCCACCACAGAAGGACCATCTGTATTAATCCTTGCAATGGTCTGTGTGACCCTAGGCCTACGCTGTTTCTTGACTTCATTTGGGCTTTTATATCTTCCTGTTTCTACTTTCTCACTCATCTGTGCCTCCCAATTGGGATTTACAGCCCTCTTCTCCTTCTTTATCATCAATTCTGTAGTTCTTGTCACCATCTCCTCCACTCTTCTTGTGTTTCAAGCTAATAACAACTCGGAAGATACTCCTAATACAGGAAGAGTCTCTCAAGGGAAGTATGCAGCTGGATTCATATGCACTGTTGGTGCTTCTGCCGGGACCGGATCAGCACTTGCCTTGACACAGTTTGCCTTCAACAAGGTCATCAGAAAGAAAACATACGTAGTTGTCATGGATGTGATAATCTATCAGTCATTGGTAGCAACATGTGCTGCCTTGGTTGGACTTTTTGCAAGTGGAGAGTGGAAGGGCCTAAAGAGAGAGATGGATGAGTTTGAAATAGGGAAGGCTTCTTATGTTATGATCTTGGTTTGGACAAGTATTGCTTGGCAGGTTTTTGTGATTGGTGCGGTTGGGTTGATTTTTGAGGTGTCTTCTCTGTTCTCCAATGTCATAAGTGCTCTGGGTTTGCCTGTCATTCAAATTTTGGCTGTGATTGTTTTCCATGACAGGATGCATGGCTTGAAGGTGATAGCAATAGTTGTGGCTCTTTGGGGTTTCGTTTCCTATGTCTATCAGCACTACCTTGACGATCGTTGTAAGTCGGAGACTGAAGATCCAAATGCAAGTGAAGCTCCTAAAGAATCAGTGCTGCTGGGAAGAGCTTAATTGAGGAAGAAAGTTGCATTGGTACTTTCTGGTGGGAAAGAAAAATATATCATGCTACTTATCTTCTTTTTCTTCTTTTTTTTTAATGCGCATGAATTTCCTTTAAATCCCTTGTTTAGGTAACCAGATGTTTATATTTTAGGTGACTAGAGACAAAACCAGACATTGCATTATGCTTAATGAATGAACTCATGTCGATAAAGTTGATGCTAAAAGAGAAATTTGGTATTTTAGAATACTATGATAGTACGGTCACATAGCACATATTATACATGTGTTATAGTAACAGTGCATGTTTATTGATACTATTCCTTAAAAGGGGGGAAAATAAACTTTGTCGTCCACCCATATTATAACACTCGTACAAGATATACCACGTGACCGTACTACTGTAGTATTCTATAATTTCTCCAAAATAAGGACCTAACATACGAATAATTCTCATACAAAAAGGTTGAGGAGTCATGGAATTGAGAAATCAAATCAAATTAATACTAAATTTAGTCTCTGTGTCCTATTTAACTTGCCTTTTTAAAGAAAATGATCAACTTAGGTCAATTTCAAAAATAATTGAACGTATGTTTTGGACTAGTAACAATCCACCAGATACATGAGTTGAAAACCTTGCATGCATAGTTAGGTGCACAGGGGACATTTATGTTTACTGGCCAAGGCAAGCAATCTAGATTTTGGGTCCTCTAAGATAAAGCTATAAAAATTTGGAAAACTTTGATATGCAACTTCAAGCATTGATCTGTTTTACATGGTTAGTAAGGCATGACACCATGGGCTGTGGAAGGAACCATTTTATATATGTTTCCAAAGAGTTCCATTTACAACCCCAAAAGTGAGCCTACCCTCTGTAAGAAGAGCCCTCCCAAATTACTCATTGAGGTGTGGCTGATTTACCTAGCAAAGTTCTCGGGTGGGATACGAAAAGGCAGCACATTCAACTGTGAAAGAGTCAGAAACACACCAAGTAAACAAGGCCACAGCGAGACAT